ATTAAAAGATTCAGAGAATCTGGAGAAATCTCTGTATGCAAGGGACAAGGCCAAAAAACAGTTGGCACTGCATTAAAAACAGACATGGTTCTCTAGTGGAAATCACTGCATGGGCTCAGGAACACATCTGAAAACCACTGTCTGTGAAAACAGTTTGTCACTGCATCCACAAATGCAAGTTAAAACTCTTAAACGCAAAGAAGAAAGCGTATATAAACAGGAACCAGGAATGTTGCCACCTTATCTGGACCCAAGCTCATTTAAAATGGACTGGGGAAGTGGAGAAGTGCCTGTGGTCCGACAAATCAACATTTGAAATTCTTTTTGGAAATCATGGACACTGTGTCCTCCGGTCTAAAGACTCAGCTTGTTATCAGTGCACAGTTCAAAAGCCAGTATTCATGATGGTATAGGGCTGCATTAGTGCACATGACAGGGGTGACTGGCACATCTGTGAAGACACCATTAATGCTGAACAATATATACATGTTTTGGCAACATATACCGCCATCTAGACAACTTCTTTTTCAGGGAAAGCCTTGCTTATTTCAGCAAGACAATGTCAAACTACATTCTGCATGTATTACAGCAGCATTGCTCCATATTAACATAGTTTGGATGCTAAACTGACCTGCCTGCAGTCCAGACCTGTCACCACTGAAAACATTTGGTGCATTACGAAATGAAAAATATGACAAAAGAGACCCCGAACTGATGGGCAAATATTTTTCAAAAAACAATAAAATTTCTCAGTTTCAACATTTGATATGTTGTCTTTGTAGTATTTTTCTTTAAAAATATGGTTTACATAATTTGCATATTTTTATTTACATATTTTTATTTACATATTTTATTTCCAACTGGAAATGGGGTTGCAGATTTATTAGCCACTAAGACTAGTATCAGTATGATCCACAGAATTGTTATATTGATCAAGCTCTCATCCCACCCAATATAAGTGTCATAAGTTGTTGTATCACCATCATCACCATCACACATGATGTTGTCATGAATAATAACTAATTAAACTGTTCTATTTTTTTAAGAAAATAAAAAAAGGAAAGAAGACTGAAGTGTCTGCTTTCTCCAGCTCCACTTCTGGCTGTGAACAGCAGCTTTTGAAAACCAAGGCAAGGACTGCAGAATAGTAAAGAATTATACTGCTGCAATAAAGAACTGTGCCCTCCTGAACCTTTAGTGACCCTTTCCTATAAGACTGGTTGTGATTGGGTTTAAAGTCAGCTAGCTTTAATTTCCAAGCAATACTCTCAGCTCCATTAAGGTGGCTTAAGCTGCCAATCTTCAGAGAGACAAAAGGGCATTTCAAACACAAGTCCGTCGTTTTATTCTGCTGGGTCTCATAACTGCCGAGATGCGACACAAAATTGATGAACGGGTCCCAGCTACGCTGCCGTCACTTCAACATCCTTCTGCCCATGACAGTTTCCTGAAACCAATTAGGTTCTATTCTGTGGTCGCACTGGCCAAAATTGCCTTGTGTCCACATTTCATTGCAGGGCTCATGACAGATGTAATTGAGACTAAATGTCATCCTTTGATATCACACAATTCACACAATAAAAGGCCAGATCTGTATCAAACAGTTCCATATAGCATCTAAGGTTCAATACAACGTCTATACAGGAACTTTAAATGCCATTTACAGCACTCCTTTTACACTGCCATTTACAGATTCCTTTTTGGAACCCTTTTTTTCAGGATGGAACCCCTCTCAAAAGGTTGTGCTGAAACGTATTATTGTGCCTTCTGGAAAATAATGCACAATACCCTTAAAATAAAGGTTATTTAATTCAGCAGAGAGTAAAAGAGCATTGAGTCTAAAGCTTATAGATAGATTATGATGTGTCACATTTAAATTCCATTTCTCAATAGCCAAATTAACTCATTCCACCCCTTTATATTTTAGAGGGGCTCACTGACTGGTGGTATGGGAGATCACTAATAGGTGGCGCTGACAGAAAGAATTCAATTGCGAAATAACACAGGACAAAATGGCAACAACTTGACAAATGCTTTTACGTCACTTACAGTGCCTTTACTCACTGCTCCAAGTAAAATCAGAAAATGACATGAACGCAGGGTGAACGCGGTCCCAACATCCAGAGAGAGCAACAGTGGCTGCATGTTCCAACTTCTCTGTTTTGCAATTTTGCAATTGCTTTTGTTAGTTTGCAGGTTGCTGATTTATCAATAGCTGTCCTGTGAGCTGCAGCCAGTGCAGTCCGCTGAATTACTCACACTGCTGATGTGTTTTGTTTGTAAATGATACTTCAGACTTGATGCACTTCAGTGATAAACAAATTCACCTCACTGCGGTAGCTGGAACTTTTGTCAAGAGAGTCAATAACGGAACTTGTTATTGAAAAGCTGTTTTTAAATGATAGGGCTAGACTGGTGGGGACAATAATGTGTGAAAACATTGGGGCTGGAAATACAGATGGTTAGAAGAGTCAAGCTAGAAAAATGTGGTAACAGTGTTAAAAAAATTGGTGCCGTTAATTTATTGTGTTGACACTTCATTGATGCATTAGCTTTGACACCACTCACAGGAGTCAGTGAGACTATGTATTGCTGTTTGAAGCATCTAAAAGCATTTAAAACCCCCTTGCTGAATTGCTAGTTCCCATAATTAAAAGTTTTGTGTTGTTTATTGTAATCTGGTTTGCTGTAACAGGTTTATTTTAAATGCAGAATTGTTGTCAGTGAAATATGAAAAAACCTGCTGTGTTTATGTTCAATAATTGCGTATTTGACAACAAATCCCTTAACCATAAGTGGTCTATTCAAAATCAATAGATTCTTTTGTGAAGTATCCTTAGGAGTCTTTAAAATGGCATTTGCAGAAAATGTTAAATACTGAACATTTTTTAGAGCTATGAAGTCTTTTCTTTAGCCTGCATGAAACCATTCCCTCTAACAGTGTACTTTAAATCAGGCAGCTTCTCCAGATTGTTCCAGATATTCAGTACATATGATATCCTAAGAAATAGGTGGTTTTGTGGTGGTTTGGTTCATCACTACCCAGAGACCCTAATATCTACAAAACTACCATAGTACAGTACTAAAATGGGAGGAGAACAAGGCAAATGCCACAAGTATTTGCCGTGTTCATTTAGAAAAGTTTACTTTTATTGTATCACATACTATCACAAAGATTTCCCATCTGGGGCCCAATCAATATACACATTGGCCTATAACATGAGCTGATACTGTTGACCCTCTGTTTTACTGACATCAGTAAAACATCACTCAACATCATTCAAGAGAATAAATACATTTAAAAAAAAAGACCAAAGAGTAAGTGTGATTCTTAGTTACATAATTACCTAACATCAGGTAATGTCAGCAACCCCGACCTAGGAGCTGTTTGGACAGGAGAAGCTCTACCTTCAAACCACTGTATTGTGCTTCCTTTATAATTAAGTGTTAGTCAAAGCAGTAGAGAATGATGGAAAGAAGCACTGTAAGGAAAGAGTAACAGAAATAAATAAAAGACATAGAAGTTAGTTTTTTAACAAAGTCTGTGTGCACATGTGTGCAAATTCAAGCTTATGCATGTGTGTGCATTCATTCCCGTGTGCTTGCATCACCTCTCATCATTACAACTCACACCTTCTTTCATGGAGGTGTCATTCATACAGGAAGAACACATCTCTCACACCTGTGCTCCTACGACATGCACACAGACACACACACACAATCACACAGATACAAGGGTAAGGATGTTAAAAAAATGCATGAATAAATAAATAGTCATAACAATATTCACAAGGACCAGGTTCTACTAATAACTTCCATATACAGAGACACAATGTCTGCTAAATGGTTGATGAGCATGTACAATAAAAAAACAGAAAACATGTTGATTTTTAAACACACTAACAAAAGAAGCCTGTGTGTAGATGCTTCAGGTCATTAGATATGACAAATAAAGATTAGATTGAAAAATGTTGGACTGTTCCTTTTTCTAATTATGCACCAATTTTCTAAATCTTTGCATAATTAAACCATCATAACATGTAAATAATGTCATTCAGAGTGGTTTAATATGAAATGCTCCATTCCAGAGAAACTCAATGATTCTGAATTCTTCACAGTGGTTACACAAAATGGTTACAAATACAATGCCTGATGCCTGAGATATTGTTTTTGAGTATATCGTAGTTCTAAGATAAGATTCTGGACTGGGTTGCAACAGTTTTGCTTACGTTTGTGACTAAAATTTGTATGTAAAGTCTTTACTAAGTTCTTAGTTAACAATACTTAGTCTTAAACTATCCAACAAATCCATAAATCATGTCTTAACTAGCAACAACCAATGCGTACATCACTTTAACATGACAATAACATGTCCAGTACCAGTCTATAAATGTGGTATCATGGATCATAGAAAAATATTCAGTATAAAAGAGAACAATGTGTACAAGTTCAAATTCATAAAAATGAATATCTATAGCCATTGTCTGTTTATTCTTAAAATTTCCTTGCAACAACCAAATATGCAGCATTTTTAAACAAGTTTCTGGCCTGACATAACAGCAGCATCAGTGAAGACATTTCGGCAGCTGCTGTGTCTTGCTGAGCTGGAGCTGTGGATGTTAGCTTCACGTTCAGAGTCAAAACAAGGGTGATGATTAGAGCTGTTAATTAAACTGCAGCATACAGCATTTTGTGTTTTTCGCTTAGTTAACCCAAAAACGTCATGTTTTTAGTCTTTTTTTGTGCGTTCTATCTGGTTTCAGTTTAGGAGGAGGTGTGAATATTTAGTAAATACTAAGCTCAACATAAAAACTAGTTTGTGTGGTGCAACTCGATTTAATGGTGCACAACTGGTGCAACTACAGCACATAATTTTGAATTCATTTGTGGTGGAGGGGCACATGCAGGGATTTGTAGGCAAAAAACCCCTTCAGCCTTACCAAAACTGCTTGTCTGTACAAATACTGTGATAAATGTATGTATGTGTGTTAATATCTCACCATGGGCATCGCGGTAGTAGGCGTGAGTAACACTGCGGAAGCGCTCCTGTCCTGCAGTGTCCCAGATCTGAAGAAGGAGAGAGGGAAAGATGAGAGGATGTTTAGCTTTCATCTTCCATTAAGCGTTAACTGTTTTTCATATTGCTCACTTTCAGGACCTTTTCAAAGGTTCACCATAAGTTCCCTCCTCCAGTGTGCACAGCCTACAGGGAGGAAGCCATAAATCCTGCTTACACTGTAGAGAAGAGGTCACCAGAGACCTGTATTATATGTCCTGCTTACTCTCCAACTTTTGAGAGGTATTAAATCCTAGCAACACCTCTTCATCTGCTTCAAAATGCACAGGAATGCTTATACAAATATGTTTGTATAGGAGGTGGCACTTATCTAGTTTAAAAGAATTCAGCAGTTGATCCAACACACAATGAACTTAATGATGCTCAAGTCACTGTAGATGCAAGTTCTCTAGCTCAGTAGCATTCAAATGAATTCAAAGAAATAAAGATATGCAGTATGCCTGTACTGTGTTGCTGGTTTATTAGGTCCTACCTTGTATCTACACTCATTTGACATTTTATCAGGCACACCCACTATAAAACAGGGCTATGAACATGAATATAAACGCTTACCCTCCATCCTGGTCAGTAGTTGGCCCTCCGTAGCAATCTCTTTGTGCTCTCTGACTGACTCCAGTTCAAACATTTAAGGCCTCCGTGCATTGGACATATTGTGCAGTGTCCAAAAATTTGAAACCTTATGGTGTTCACTGGCACCAACACTCCGAATTGATGCGCTGTGGCACTGGCACTCTGCCACACCTGGCACTGTTCAGTTTCTCAATGCCCCACTCAGCATTTTTACCATTACTACATTAAACTAAAGTCATATAAAGGTCACAGAAGAAAACAGACAAAACAGACAAACTGTCAGACAAACAGACAAATGTCTGTTACCTCCACTAGCGTTACAGCCTTCTCTGTTTTTCACCTTGTATCTTTTAGCTTGAGTTATTAAATAGTAAATTTGTTCCAAGCTTGATAAATGATGTTGAAAGTTTTATTTCATTAGATTTAAATCAGTAGAGTGTAAAAATGGACTTGAACTTGTTCATTTGCTTTCTATAGCATTACTCTGCTACGTGATGCTTTACAGTCTCACAATGCTGTGGTCCACTGAAGCCATTTTTAAACTATATGCAGCAGCTCAATGGTGACACTGCCTCTGCACATATTCTGCTCTGTCACAGATGAGAAAATCTGGGTTAAAACACTCAATACAAAAGCTGAATTAATGTGGTTTTATGCTGGTTTACCTTCCTGACTTAGTAAACACCCAGGGTTAACCGTCCGATATGGACTTGTCACAGACATCTAGGCAGCATCAGTTTTGTATCACTAGTCTGAATAAGAAGGTACCAATTTTTAACTGCAGCTCCTGTAGTTTTCATTTAAGATTCTTACAGTATTTTAGAGGATTTTTTGCATATTTTCATGAAAGATTTATATTCTCTTTATTACAATTTGATAATTTTCTATGAAGTGATAAAATGTAGTAATATCTCAACAAATCATCATAAATATTTTAAGTACCACTTTACACACACATGTAAAACACAAAAAGAGTGTACGCTGTCTGAGAGAATCCAGTACATTTACATGGGAAGCCACTCTGTATTAGAACAACCGAGTGTTTTAACTGGAGTTTTCATACACTGTGTAGTCTACACCTACAACACACATCTATACTGTTGGTACTTGTAAGTGTACCATTAGCTCATCTTTTTCCTTTCACAGTTTGTGTTAGCCATACTCCAGCCCTTCATCAATGGCCAGTTTCTGGCTTCAGGGTCAATTTTGCCTGCATAATTTTGGGTGTTGGACCACTTTGAACCTAGCAGTGACACCTCGGCATCACTGCTGTGTCTGATACACTTGTACCAGCGCAACACACACGATTAAGCAGGATTTCACTAAACTGTTCTAACACAGAGTGTCTTCCTAATAAAATGTATTAGATTGTCCTAGACAGCACACACTGTTCTTGTTTGAGAGTGTTTGTGTGTAAGTTGGTAATTAAAATGTTGATGGCCATTTGTTGCATTATTGGCTTATTTTATCACTGAAAATGATCAAATTGTGATAAAAACAACATTAATTTTGCACAAAAGTATGTAGCATTTACACCTTTAGTGTATTTAAGAATCCTAGCAACACTTAAGAGTTGAAAATGGTCCATCACCCAAATAAAATCTAGTCAGTGTTTATACTATGTTGCCTCCTCTCCTCCTGTTGCCTGGCTGATAAACTGTACAGCAACAGATGGACTACAGTCAATAACTGTAAACCTACAAACTGCACAAACTGGAAGGTGTTTCTGATAAAATGGCCAATGAGTGTAGTTACAAGGTAGGTGTACCTAAGTGCCAACTCCACCTACAGTGCTTCACTCTAAATAACTTAAGTTAGAGGACAAGCTTGACATTCAAATTCAAATATCATTCAAATATCAACTGGAAACTAAGATCTCATAGCTAAGCTCCTCTTCACATCTATCTCTTTTCTTTCCTGCCTGTATGAAGGCAAAGTGAGCTGGAGTGTTTATGCAGGACCAACAACGGCTGTCTTTCTCTGTCCCAGTCAAGTATAGAAATTGATGTTGACTGTCACTCTGCCCCCGTTGTTCCGGCCCTCATCACTGGTAATTGAGGCCTTTCGTCTTCATCAGTCATTTTTCCCCCATAACTTATTTCCCTCACGGACAAATGAACTTCGCCCCCTCCTCTTGCCTGAGGTGATGTGACGCTGATTACAGCCAGTGCTTTTTCTTCTAATGAAACCCCCTCAGTGCTTTCCTTCAGAGACAGGCTTTTACTCACTTAATGCTACAGAGTGTACATATAAGCACATGCACGCGTGTGCAGGCTGTTTTCCCCTGTTACTTACACTCCATCAGGTGACTTCTGCTGAAGTTTCATCCTTCTTAACCCCACGTGGTTCCCACCCTATGTGGCTCTAATGAGGAACAGAGCTTCATTTGCCTGGCGGCGTTTGCGTGAGGGGGAGCTCTGAGCCAATTAGCTCAAATGAACACATCACACGGCAAAACCCTCCATCTCTGGCCTAATTAAGGTTTTTTTCACAACAACTTGCACAACTGCAGGTTTGTAATCGACAGAATGAGAAAGCAAGTAAAGCAAGAGACGTAGCCTATTATATATGTGTGTGAGAGAGAAAAGAGAAAAAGACGTCTGGAGAAAAGGCTAATGAGACTAATAGTCTGTACAAAATTAATGTGAAGAGCCTGTCTCAGTCTTAGTAAACACTAATAGGACATTTGTCTCCAGATGAGGACATTGATTGAATTTACGCAAAAAAGGCAGGAATCTTTAAAAGGCATGTTGCACAAACTCAAGCACTCACTGAGCGACGTTAAAAGCATTGCTTAGAGTCTTTGCGAAAGGAGCATCCAGGTACATGTTCTCTAAATCACTCATGTCTTTTAGGCTAAAGCTAAAAGCACATTTTACTCAATACAAGCACAATTACAGCCCTTGGAATGGACTAGATGTGGTACTGTTTTGGGTAGGAGAGTGAACCTTACCTGGAGCTTGACCTTCACCCCATCAACGTTGAGCACTTTGTTCTGAAATTAGGGAGAGAGAGAGGGAGAAAGAGAGAAAGAGAGAAATGGAAAGGTACATCAATTGCAATGTGGATAAACGTGAATATTTTTGCTTATTTTTGTGGGTATTTTTGTAGGGATACACAGGAGGCCTGGGTGATATCGATACAAAATTATTAGCACAATATTTTCCTGTTAAAAAATCATGATTATCAATTGTGTCGCTGCCAACCCCAGCCCCAACCAATACATGCGCTCTACTGCAGCTTTGACCTACTTTCCTATTCTATTTTTACCTTATATGCTTTATTATGAACATTTTTTTAACTGAAAATCGTTAATAAAACTCTATATTATAAATACATATTAAATAATACAATAATGAGTAGCCCAAAATCCTTTAAAAACTATTTGAACTGTGCTGTGCTATTTGAACTTGTGTGCTAATACTGCAGTCTGGCTGCAAGTGATTTCCAAAACCGTGCCCACATGCTTTCCATATTTAAAAACAAGGTGTTTTGCTTTGTTATAACGTCAATCTGGAGCATCACCACCAGACTTAAGCTGTATGTAATATACTGCAAATTTTACTTGGAGACCTTTACTTGGTCAGCATTTATTTTCGATTCCATGCACTCAAGCTGAACTTAATGTAAAGTGAAATAAGTAGAAGGGGAAGAGCCTTGCGGATGGTAAAGCTAGCATCATAATGCATAGCAGAAAGAACAGGCAGATTTTAACAAAATCTCTCTCTGTCTCTCTCTGTGTCTCTGTCTCTCTCTCTCTCTCGATTATTGGGGCGTATGCCCGCACACTTCTTAAAGGAAAAGTGAACCCTAAATTCCCAACATTTTTAACAAGTGTTAGTTCTTTCATTCCCTATCGCCCAGGCCTAATGCACAGTGATATCCGCAACATATCAGTAGCGGCAGATATTTGCCTCAGAAAATATTTCAGCATCGGACAGATGTTTGGATTTGACCAATACTTCAAACCAACATTTGATTATCTATTTATCATACTCCAGAAGCGCAGAACGTTAAGGTAATGGGTTACTGAAATAAATAAACTGCAATTTATCAATTTTACTTCATTTGTAACCCTTTACAATAGGTACCATTTCTCCGTAATGCCAATCCAGGCAGATATAGTCACATATATATGTATATGTCCACAATTCCGATATTGATGCATGCCCAGTTTTTTACAGTAGAAAACTGGAGCCATATGCAGAGTAAAAGGGTAAAAGAGCACATAGATGCTTATGTGGTGTGTGAGAGCAGTAATTCTGCAGAAGAAAGCCTCATCTATAGCCCAGCTGAGTGTTTCTCCTCTGACCAATCACATGCTGCTTCCCCTCCAGACTATCAATAATGCAGTACTCCAAGCTCTTCGGCTCGTTTTTAATAATCTCTCCTTCTTCCCCTCTCCCTCACACATAGCTCTACTTATATTGCTATTGTATACTCTAGAACCATAATTAAATCTGGTTAATCCTAACATTAACTCTACTCTAGCCTGGCCTGCATCTGAAGCCTGATCTATAAATAAAACAGATAACGGGCTATAAATAATATTTAAAAAGACAGCTTTAAACATCTACAAAATGCATCTTTTAAAACATGTTAGCATTCTGACTTTATTTAAATAAATCATAACTGTCCAGTATTTGCATGGTCTGTTTACCAAATGCATTGTAATGCATTTCTACATGACCATTTTCTAACCTCTCTTTATCCTTTAGAATTAGTTGTTTTTGTTACTGTGCCTTTAATCAACTCATCTCTAAACAACCTCTATTCTGACTGGCTGTCTTGTATTGTGCCTCATCCAAAACCAGTCCAAACTGAAATACTTCTTAATACTTCAACATGAAGGGGCTGGATACACTGCTGTAGGCCGAATATGTGTATAGGCGTGTTTCTGATTTCACTAACACAATTAACTTACAACAGGTATGGAGCCCAGTCGATACATCAGTTGGCCGATAACATTGGCTAAAATTGATGACCTGTGGCTTTATCATTATCAGCAAAAATATCAGTAATGCACTGATAATCACCCCCTGTTTAACTATATCACAGCAAGACAGGCTGAACCGGTGAATCTTAACACAAAACACTATCAAGAAAAATATGAGGTAATGTACAGTCATGTACAGTCGTGCGCAAAAGTTTGAACACTCCTGGTCAAATGACATGTTTTGTAGATTTTCAAAGTGAAAATAAGTAACACATCCTCACGTATATATATATATATATATATATATATATATATATATATATATATATATGTGTGTGCAATATACTCATTAATATATATATATATATATATATATATATATATATATATGGTTTCTTTTCTTATATAGAGAATTCTAGGTAGCTCCACCCCCAGTACTATAATATTTACATACTCTTACATAATATAGTACTGCTTGAGTATAAAACACAGTATAAATTTTGTATTAAATCAAATGCTTTTATCAAAATGTTCATATCAGCTCGTAGAGCATGTTTAGAGAAAAAGTGCATATACTTATGCTTATTTCAAAACATAATGCTTGGAACAAGTAAAATATTTTACCAATACAATAAAACATTGTATAGCATAAAATTACTTACAACGTGTAAAATATGTTCAAGTTTAACAACCTTACAATATTCTTAGTACAAACTCATACTGAGAAATATTTGATATATTGACTACATTTAAAATTTTTCATTTGGTTCTATTATTTTTGCAGCAAACATAGCAATACAAAGTCTTTTATTCAAAAAAGTGAGAAAAATTCTCATTACATACACACACACACATACAGACACACACACATATTTAAGGGAGAACAACATCGGTCACTTACAGTTTGATCTTCCAAGTTTAGAAAGCTACTCTCTCTACACATACACTCAGAGATTTCTGCCTGCCTCTTACAGAATAAAATGCTGTCTCTAGGCTGCCCTCTGCCCTTTAACCCCCAATGGCACTGACCAGTCAACACAATGACACAGCACTAATCTCCTTCATTTCCCGAGTGGCAAGAGGTCAGCTGGCAGTGAGCATCCCCAAAAACTGATATAATTACTGAAAGGCTTGTCCCTCTGGCCCAACTGATCTTTGACTGCAAGCACTGATGCCAAGCTCCGAATCCCTGTCCAAACAGTCAGCCCACAACTGAATTTAATCAGTCTGCTAATTAGCTGATGATTCACCTCGAGCACACGGTGGCATCACATCTACAAATATAGCATATTTAGATAGAAGAAAGATAGTATTTAGTAGCAATTCAAGCTCTCATACTCTATATATAGCAACAGAACACTGCTTATTTGAACTACTCAGCTAGACGTTACTGTTGATTTCATCACCATCACCCCGTTGTGGCAGACATAATACCCATGTGGCAAGAAAATCACCTTTCCCTCTTTCTCTACTGGCAGCTCTTTCTATACTGCCCTCAGACTTCACAGCTCAAAGGCCCCGTAAAAAAAAAAAGCTGATCAAGCCAAAAATGCAATCTCTGTTTGTCAAGCCTAAAACAAAGATGCATTTGAAGTGAATGCTCATGTATATTCAGTGGCAATGGCGCCCTGTCGTCTGAGCATGGTTGCATTCTAATCAGCCTCTGTGACATGAGTGGAATATCATCAGTCATGTTTCCATTGCTGGACCTCCGAAAAACCTTTGCCCTTATAGGAAGGACAAGAGAAGTCAAATGGCCCAAAGTGCTGCCACACTTAAAAGAAACAAGCAATGTTTATGACCAAAAAAACACAAAACACTATGTACAAAAGTGATTTGACACTGTTTTTAAGTTTCTTTCATAATGTAGACTCATCTGAGATGAAGACTCAAATTACTTCATAGGCTTGACTGAACATTTTATCATTATTAGGCTGTAGGTCCACATATGACATAACAATATGTTTAGATCATACGGCAACAGCCAGTCAAACCAGAGAAGAAAAAATATTTTTGTGTCACTTTCCCATGGGTTATTCAATGCAGTACCTGACAAGTGAGCTGCATGTTGTGAAACAGTGAATGTAAAAAATGATCATGGAGGATCATCACTACTTTGATAGGTATACAGTACAAACACTACAAACATGGTATATTTTTGTCTGACAATAAATGCAGTGAGAAACTGACATAGTAAACGTGGGTGGTACCCTCCCCCACTCATAAAATTCAATTGCTGGAGGCGCATATGAAACACATGGAAGTGCCAGGTGTGAACAGCTACACGTCTCGCCGTCCACTTACGATGAGACCACTCAAGATGGACGTTAATACCAAGTGTGAACATAGCCTAAGAGATCAGCGTCAACAAAGAACCAGAAGACCTTATAAAGGACAGAAGACTTCAGAGAGACACTGAAGGAAAAGTAGAGTGAAATACATTGCTGTCAGGCATTGTCAACATGACCAAAAATTAGTGTTTATTTTTCTTTTTATTATAAATACTGGTTGAAGTATAACTGTTTTTGGTTGTAGCATACACATCAATAGCATTCCCACTACATACTAAACACAGAAGTTGTCCATATGACTCTAGCTTCCATTCTGCAGCACTTAGTATTGCTGTAATAGTGCTTGGTCCTCACCAGGAGGAGTAAATAATTGGTTAAGCTGCACTGCTGTCTGTCTGACACTTTTTCAGTAACGTCAGCTTCAGCTGCAAGTGATTCTATGTAAACTGATCATGATAACAGGCGTGTCAGTTATTGACTACACAGCATCCCCCAAAAAAAAATTCTTTTAGTTGCCACTAACTTAACTCTGACTCCCACATCTTTTTAGCTAGCGCAGTCACAACTGTTGATCCACTATCAAATGAGAACAGGGCGATTACCCCTGCACAACATCAGTAGCAGTACAGACGCTCCACATCTCCCACGTCGATCGGAGTCAATATACAGCTCCAAGAACACTGCCATATGACTTGCATCATAAGGTAAAGAAGTAAATGACTTGTACGTTAATACTGAGTACTGGCTAATGTAAGCTAAACTAAGCTT